GTTCGTATCGAAGTTATGTGTGCCTCACATCTATTATGGGCCTTCACGATACATCATTGCTATTGGTTGTTTTTGCTAGTGGAACCGTTGTCTTTCCTTCCTTTTATGATTATACAAGAGATAAACTTCAGCTAGTCTATGGTGTCGAATCAGGATAATGGTCGAAGCCGCTTCCATTGCGTACGCTTGCTAACTAAGGTTATGGTCTTTTTAGAGCCTACTTTTCATATTTCAGATGGAACTATGTTCACAGAGATGTCCTGAATGGCGCTTTGCGAGCATCGCTACGGGTGACAGCCGCTTCTCTTACTTGATCAGCTTTTCCCTGGTATAATGCATTGTCTCGTCCTTCAATCTGTATCCTATTATATGTTGTCAAAGGATACCTGCGGAAAACTTCAAGCTCAAATGGATGCTGGAGGACGAGCTTACTGTAAGTAATGGCGATGTCGTATCCTTGCGCGTAGGCAAGAGGAGACCAATCGCACGCCGCATGTCGTCCAGCATTTCGCACTTTCGCACTTTTTACGAAAATTCCCCAGTTTTTCCTCGAAAAATGTCATGGCAGGAGGGGGTTCATAACCCACTTGAAAAAAGGAAAAGGAAAGCTGATAAAGTCTACAACCAGAAACATTTTTCTCAAAGGTATTCACTACCCGTCCCTCTGGTGACCAAATACGACCCCCTCGCCAGGCTCCCCAACGTATGCTGTGCCTTGGCCCCAGTTCCGCTTGTCAGCTCCCGTATAAGTACTACGAGTACACCCTTTTTACGCGAATTCGGCGATTGTTCGGATTCTATCAGCGTGAATGAGGCCTTGTTCACTGTGTTGGATGCTACAGTCTACCCCGTCCATGGAAAGGACGCAGTTGCACACTTCATGCCGCCGTGGTGGTTGCACTTCTGTTCAAGTGAAGAATCAGCACCGACGCTGTGTTCATACACGAGACATGCGAGGGTCCGTAAATAAGACGAGTTAGGTATCGCCTGATCTACAGTGTGCGACTCTTCAGCTATGGTAAACTAATCGGAACTTGTCTCGGTGTGCGACAAGACAGTAGTAGTGTGCCGCGCTGGTGGTGGCCAGCGACGCCGCGCTCGCGAGAGACAAGCTGTTCTGCCTGGTAATTTGAATTCGAATGTTGAAGAGACGGAAAAAAGAATAGCATCGACAAGAAGCCTTGCTTCTGTTTTAATTCAATTGCCAATTGAATTGTTAGCTGAATTCTCTCCTAAAAATACGGGGTAGGAGTAGCTGCGTACTTGAACTAAACGTGGCCGTGGCTGTGCTTTTGAGAGATATTTTCATTTTTACACAATTGTGGTCGTGTCTCTGTCCAGCACTGAACAAGATGACAGTTGTCTCAAACTGAAATATCCCACGAGTAACCTATTCTGTGCCATGTTGAATGCCACGCCTACTCCGTCTCAGGGATAAGTAGTTCATGTAGTCTGCCTCGCGGATTCTGCAATGGGTGGGTCCAATCAAACGATATGTGCCGTTATGGGAATCGTGCGATTCCAACGTGAGCTAACGAGCTCTCACCGCTCATAGCACGCGGTGAGTCGCGCGGCAATGTTAGAGTTGCACTACCTCATCAACGCAAGTTGCCGCTAGAGCAGGAAATTTGACGGCGTGCTCTTTACAATAGCGATGGGATGACTCGTTTGATGATTTAAAGGAGCTATGAAGCAACGCAACTCGTACGCAGAGGCTGCGACGTCGCAGGCCACGCCCATCACTGTCCGACCCACGATAGAATCCCCACATATCCCCGCACGGGGTGTATGTCGTTTGGCGCGATTCTTTTGTCGCCTACGCGTCAGAACCTGTCAGGCAAACCGACTTCTAAGGGAAACAACTCGCCATAACCTCCAAACTAGCGTATATCCCCAAGTGATCATCAGAAGAAAACTTACTGTTTGAATAATGAGCACTATAACCAAAAACAGGAGGGTTTTGTTAGGCTACAAATTACGAAAACCTTATAGTTCAGTGATTCGAACAAGTTATCCGGTAGGCATGTACCTGTCAGAACGCGTAAACGGCAATGAAATCGCGCCAAACGACCGCCTCCCCCCTCGCAGGTAATCCTTTTCCCGGCTTTCCTGACGCAAGGTATCAATGCGATCTTATGGCGGTGAAAAGACTACTTGTCTGCACACGTTTCAACACGTCTCACCTGTCTATGCGTGGCCGTGTACTCAATTAAAGCGTGTTTTCACTGTCTTCGCAATACCTGATTTTTCCTCGGAGTGACCCCAACCCACGGGAGCACTAAGCTGATTCCAGCCCAGTCGAAGGTAGGTGCTGAATAAAAGGTTGGTCCGAAATTTTCTTATACTGCTTGTGGTGATTCAGTGGTATTGTTCTGTGCCTTAAGGAGACTGCAGCGATAACGACAATAATAAAGGTTATAATATGTTTATTATGTATATAGAAACCTACGTCTCGTTTACGACGGATAGGATGAACTATGAGTAAATGGACGTCTTACTCGGGACGTTGGAAGAGGAGGTAGCGGTTAGTGTATGGAATATGGCAGACTGCAAGAGCGGACCATTCGTATGTATCTTGAGTTCGCCTCATGCTAGTACTTATGGGGCCGTATGCTATACTCCCCCTCGAGGGGAGGGGTCCCCTTCCCGTATGCTACACTTCCCCCGAAGGCTTTGGGGGAGAGGCCACGCCTACCAAATTAGGGGGAGAGCTCCCCCGCCCGCCCACAAACGGACGACCGTTCCTGACGCTCGTATTCATTCATTTGCTGAGCAAATTATGAAGCAAAGGGATTGGTATGAAGCGGCCGTGATGCTGCATGCATATATGGGTACACATATGCAGCCGTATCTTCGGTAGCGGTGATTGGTAAGATGCCTACGGGAAACTCGTCCGAAATCGATTTTCAAGTCACTGAGAACGGAGGCTTTTTCTTCGCCGGATTTTGACCGTCACTTCTTTCTTTCGCCATTTCCCCACTACATAGCGCCCTACTAGCATTGTTAGGCCGAGTGGGACATCGTGTCAACTGCCTTTGAGCTTTGTCGGCCGCAGCAATGGGCACGACATTTCCTTAATTTGCACCACACTTTCGACTGGAGCTTCGGATTTCGTGTATGCAAGGACATTGTAGACGCTGATTGCATGCAAGGACATGGCAGACGCTGATGTCTATTTTTGGTTATACATTGTCTATTCTCAACCAGTACCACATGAAATCGCCGTCACTAGGTAACGCGACGTCGCACGCGACGAATTACGACTCACTTGCCGTGGAATCGTGACGGTGCTCAGCAGTTGCACGCTGCGGGTTGCATGCGTCGTAAATGCACGACGCCGGCAGTCTGCTACCTCCCACTACCCACATTCTCCACTTCTGGTGGGCACTGACATACGCTGACATACACTGGCGTACGCTAGATCGACACCTATACTTTTAGTCGCTCAAAACTGCCATGCGCAAGCGCACCGACGCAAAGTATGAACGCAGCCTTGAAGTGTGTTCATACTTCGCGATCGGACCAAGTATAGCGCTTCGATCCTAGCGACTGGCGTCAGTCTGTGCAGTTCGCACCAGCGACCTGTGCGCACGGCCGACGCCAGTCGCGATCTTCGCGCGCTTCACGCAATCAGCGTCAATCCGTGCGCGATCTGCGGTAATCAGTCGCTAGCATGGCGACCCCCGCGATCAGGTCGCGAAGTATAGCCATCTATAAGCACTGAGATTGCGACAAGTACAAGACGCTTGGAGTGACGCAAATTTCACAAGAGTGTATAACGATTACTTTTCCTTTTTTGACTCTTGTGATGCATCTAGACTATGTTATTCTCACATCTACATCCACCGAGCCACCGCGCCGATTAGTTGCAATATTTCAGCACTAGGAACTAAAGATGTGTTGAGTTGTGATGAAAAATGAGTTATTGACTTGCTATTAGCTGAGCATCTTGATCGCTAGGACACCACCTGTTCCTCGCCATGCTCTGCACGCCTGTGCACTCTCGACTGGAGGTACCGTGAGTTTGGCTGACGACGTGAGAAGCACAGACGAGCAGAGATGGGCGCGATCAACTACTACCTGCTGTCTCCCCGTCCGAACGACATGACATCGTGGATTTCCTGTTCGGGAGACATAACTTTCACTCGTTCTTGAAAACCGTCCCACACTACTGATAACCATCCTTAGCTAATAATACACGAATCTAATTGTCTTACATGTCATTTCTCACCAAACTCATCATCATGCATACATTTTAGCTCCGTGTTGAATTCTGGTTTATACGCTGGGCTTCAGGATCCGATCAGCTTCCCCTGAGGTTTGCTTTCAGCCTTAGCCTCCATCGTGCTCCAGTGAGAGTTCGGTTCAACGTACGCGCCGCGACCGCTCGCCTACTGGGAGGTCGTCAACGTGGTCATGTGAGTCATCATCCCTCGTATTTCCGAAATTGCTTGTGTTTTTTGCCTCGATACACACTGCCCTATGCTTGTGTGGAAACTAGTCGAAAACTTTGCCGAATACCATATTTTTGATATATTGGCACTTTTACGCAAAGGTGTAACATTGCTTCGTGGGTGGTAGGGGGCTTATGTGTGTATCAGAATGCAGCATGTTGTCCAGTTACTTGTTGTTAGGAAATTTGAGGTCATATTTCCGAAGTATTCCATATCTACTCAGATATAAAAGGAACTGAACGCTTCACCTTCCTCGGTATCATTCCAAAAACATCCCACGTAAATCATTCAAATGAAGCATTCAGTTGGCGAACGGGAGAACTCATTTTTGCTTTCACTTTCTTGATGAAGCCGTATCAGCATACAGGGCCATTTAGTGGACAACTTTTTGTTGCCTCATTGAAGTATATACTGTCGCATCGATAACAAAAAAATGTTCTGTTCTAAAATATCAGATATTGTCCATGTTGGTTGCTGTTTGTTCTTTTGAGTCCCTCTTTTGGTGGTAGACCGTTGTCGGCAGAACCGTTTTTCTTTTGCAGTGTCATGCCCGTCGGAGGAAGGAATAACCGTCGCGATGTTAAACATCTTTCAAAGAATCGTTTCTCAAAATTGGACTCGGACATTGTTAGCTCATATGTAGATGATGAAGAAGGTTGGTTTTGAGTTTTTTTAACCTGGTCACGCTTTCATGCCTTCCGTAGCATGATCCAGTTTGTGGTTTCACAGCGTTCCGGTTTTCGATTTTCGTTCTAATCACTAGCAGTTCGAAGCACTTGGTTCGTTCTCAGTCACTGATAGTGCATAAGTCATAGCGTCAGCTGAGAAGATTGAAGAAGATGGTAGGCAGGAAGGGATGGGCAAGGGGGAAGGGGTCGTACCTCAGTAAAAAATTGAAGGTCTTGTATTTCGCGAAAATTCTCCAAGACAGGACGTGCCCTGGACTGATGTGATAAAGGATAAAGTCTTCGCCGTTAATCAATCCCTTTGTGGGATGCGGCACGCATTCTACTTCCATTCAGAATCGTAGTGGCTTATTGAAGTGGCTTATTGAATGCGATGTGGCCTATACAATGACTTGCGGGGCCAGCCGATGTACAAGTCAGTGTTTTATCCTCCCAGACGAATCTGGTACCAATTTACCGTCCCCGGAGGGTAGAAGGCTTGGTTGGCCTGGGCGGGTGTCGACCTGGGATTCGAACCCAGGACCGCGCGAGTGGTAAGCGCGCCACTTGTCACTACACCACCTCCGCCTAGGGCTGATGTGAAGTAAGAAAAAAAGTGTGAGAACCCCAAATACCGTTTTTTTATGTCTGGTCCCGAATGTTATCCTTTACTAAATCTTATTTTGTGATTTCTTGCAGAAGAAAGGCCGCGGAGGCCAGCAGGCACTGTAAGTCGTGTCATCAATATGTTGGCTGGACGTGTCATGCATGGTCAAGGTGGCAGTCGTCGCGGCAAAAAGGATGAGCAGGCGTTACGGAGCGCCGGAGGTGTTTCTCGCCACGCCGAGATGGTCTACAAAATAAGAGTGAGTTAGACTACTCAAGGTCGGTTTCTCTTACGCTAGGTATTTCATCTGGTATTTCTTTTAGATCCCGTTTGGTCGGAAGTTCACCGTACCATGGATAATGAAACAACTACATCAGCAAATTGAAGACATCAAGCCACTTCTAGTTACTGTCACACCACGAGGCGACGTTGAATTTTTCTTGAAGGTAAGTCGCATTTTTCACCTTTTCTCCGATTATGACTTGACACTTTGCCGAAACAACGTTAGCATCAATAGCCGACCTTTGTTTTTTCTGCAAGTCCTTGCTCATGTTAAAATTTTATAGAGTGAAGATTCCGCAGAAGCTTGCAGAGCTATATCACGTCGTATTGTACACAGAGTAACTGGCGATCGTATGACTATTGTTGTTGACAAAGTCGTAGCTCCATGGACCCGATTGAGTAAAGAAGAAACTACCGTAATACAGGTTTGCTAGTTCTTCTTCAAGACTTCATTTGGAACCGTAAGAGTGTGTTCATACCTTGCGGCAGCGTCTCGAACTTTCGTCAGCGTTTTGAGCGCCCACCAGTCTTTTGAGCATCTGCAGCATTTTGAGCGTCCAGCAGTCTTTTGAGCGTCAGAGTTTTCGACGGTGATCGGTAACTGTACTTTCCTATTCGTTCAAGACACTGGTGGACTTCAAAACGCGAGCGGAGCTCATAATGGGATCGATAACTGAGTTTTCGTAGTCGCAAAACGCTGGCGGACGCTTGAAACGCTGCCACAAAGTATGAGCGCACTCCAAGCATTCTAAAACCTAATGCAACATATTGACTTGCATCTGGCACTCGAAAAAGTTTCTTTTTTCGCAGTACAAAAGTGAGTAATAAGGTAGTTTTCCACCACAGCAACTCTACCCAAAGGTGAACGTTTTTGCGTTATTCGCTCCACTGTCCACTCTCTAATCGCGGAACATGTTTTCAGAATATTTTATTGCTCTGCTCATTGTTTTCATACAGTTCTAGCATCATTTCCATAACGGCATTCACTTCAAATCCAGTGATGGAGAGGGCGTGGCTGTGTGCTCTATTACAGATTCTCAAGGGATATTGTACTAGGGCAGCTGAGTCCAGTAACACAGAATGGCCGTTCTCTCAAATGAATATATCCTGCGGTGACAGCTTACGCCACTTTCAAATGAAATGCGCGGCCACGCCTTCTCCTCTCTGGGATATGGAGTGTACATTCACACCTTAGATTCTAAGGATATAAATTGTTACACTTTTAGATGGTTGTCGACAGTCGTTATAATCATGACACCCGGTCACTCGATCTCAGCGAATTTGCCCTAGATCCAAGTGAGTTTTTGTTCAGCCAGGCTATGGCGTAATTAAACAAGCTGTTTTAGAGTTCAAAGAACGTGATTTACATATGATGCTGAACAAGAACAATGTCATGCTAACAGTTGTTGACAGAATTGATGAGAGATTCGGTTCCATCACGGCACTCAGCTTACAGGTACGTCAGATAGAATCACATTTATAGCGGCTTATTTTAATATGAATTACGCGCTCGGGATTTCGAAGAAAATCTATGAGAGCATGTTTTATAATTCTTCGCTGGCCTTGTAAATCAATCCCAGGGCTATTTAATAAAAGAAGTGAAGGTGTTTGGTGAAAGAGCAGCGATTCTTCAAAAAGAGAGGGGTACAGAAGGAAAATAAGGGTTTCGTAGACTAGCTTTAGGGAAGAGATAATAACAAACTGTCACAGAATGGCAGCCAGCTTGACTGTGAGGTGAAAACCTAGTCGGAAATAGATGAATATGTACTTATTTTCATAGAATCTTTCTTGGTACAAATTCACTCCCGCATTTTATTTCAGGGCAATCGATTAAGATTTCTGGATTACGCTGCCGTTTTGACGAGTGTTACTAAGTTCCTGAAAGTGTTAGATTTGTCGAATAACCAGGTGATATCCTAGTCATATCTTTGGACCTTTGAGTTTTTCAGCAAAATTCTTCTATTTATCTGGGTCAGGGCTTCCGGCGCTGTTCGGCTTGGAGGGCATTTTACTCTTCAGTTTTACCAATTCTCGCGTGAAAGCTCCATGTGAAGCTGTGAGTGAAATGGTGGGAGTGAGCTGCTTTGGTCGAAGGAGTTTACAGGTTTTCACAAGGTGGCCTGTATAAGCTTAACTGAGTAATATTCAGTGCCCTCATCAAGCCGAACTTCGTCAGGTTCCTTCTCTTGTCCATTGAAAGTCCGCTAAAACAAATTTGTTACAGATTGACAAAATTAGTGAGTTGGAGAAGCTGAAAGGCCTGCCTGTCGAGACGTTATTCTTCGAGGGAAATCCACTTGTCGAACAACTAACGACAGCTTCCGGCTACCTCAGGTCTATTGTTAGGCGAATTAGGAGTGCTAAGTTTTCTTTGTGTTATTGTAGTCACATGGTTACAAAAATTCACATTATATACTTTTTCGTGATATGTCCTTACATTTCTCAGGGACTTTTTAAATCTCATTCGTCCAGACTGACACACAGTCCGGACTCAGTATGGCCGTCGTGTTTTTTACTTATTGATAACCTTTTCATACCATGACCTTCAGCGCCGTTCATCAAGTATTCCCGAAAGTATGTGTTTTGGTGAGTGCAGCAATCTTCTCTTTTGTTAGAGAAACAACGATTTAATTTACTGTTGTAGGACGGTGCTCCTGTGCAACCAGCAGCAGTTCATGTGCAGTCACTAGATGACGACGAAATAACAACGGAACCTCCGTGTAGGGTAGGTGCAGTTCTGATGCTCTCTTCAGTGAACAAATTAATTTTGAACCTAATATTACAATTAATTATTGAAAAGGACCTTATCCGTCACTCAGTCCCTTTTTAGGATGCGGCATGCATTTAATCTCCGCTTAGAATCGCAGTGGCACAGTAAGATGAGCGTTTCAGCCGATGTACAAGTCAATCTTTTATCCTCCGGAACTAATCTGGTACCGATTCACCGTCCCTGAAGAGTAGAAGGCTTGGCTTGCCTGGAGCTTTGCCTGGGAGTTGATCCGGGATTTGATCCCGGTACCGTGCGCGTGGTAAGCGTGCGCTTACCAGTATACCATGACCGCCTCGTAATTTCCACCTCTTACCGTCCCTGCAGGGTAGAAGAAAGTGATTATGGCATTAGTATTATTATTAGTGGCATTGGCAAAAAAACAATTGTAACCATTATTACTGCCAGGTTTTGGGATAAACTCCCGCCGTCTTTCTGAATGCACGCTTTTAAATGCGAAGTTGCACTCTGGATTCTTCAGTTGGCGCGATCTTTGTTTTTTAGCCGGGATTCTACGGAAGCGATGCCCTTCGAGTGTTGGTTGAACGCTTTCTCGTTGAGTACTTCAAGCTGTATGATGGCGAAGATGGAGCGATCACAAGGAAAAGTCTCGTGCAGGCTTACGATGCGGATAATGTGAGCTGTCGTATATTTGCTGCTTCCATTAAGAAAAGAGTAGGAAGAAGTTGCTCCATCTATGTGAATAGTTTTCTTTTTCAGTCTTCGTTTACGGTAACAATCGCAAATCTTAAGGACGAAGGACCTATGCGTTACCCTGACGAGTGAGTTTGTAGCTAAAAAAAATTTGCCCTTTTTGCTTGTGTTGTTTCTGGACTCGTCTGCGGATAAGGGACGCTATACTTCTGAGAAGTGAGGTGGGGGGAAGGCGGGGAGAAGGGCACAGCAGAGCTAGGCCATGTTTCTTCTGCTCGTCTTGTCTGAATTCCCTCACCGCATGGCATTTTCTATCATGGCTTAGTCAGCGTCAAAAAAAGTCGCGCTCTCACCTCGACGCCATGACGTGGCTCTGTGGCGCCAGAACAAGACGTAAGTGAGCTTGGAGGCTACCCCCTTCCCCTTTGAAGCATGTAGTAATGATTTATCGGGCTTGATATATTTTTTGCAAAATAATACGCTACCGCTCAAGTTATCGATAAATTCAAATTTCAGTGCGTGCTATAATCTATACATCCGTGCATCTCATAACGTTCTTTGTGAAGATCGATGGTCGCGAAATCGTGGCAGTCGAACATACCGAGGTAAGTGTCTATTTCTATGCCATGCATTCCCATAACTTGTACGGAGTGAAAATCTGTAATGCCAAAACTTTAGGAGCGATGGATATTGCTGTGGCCCTTTCCAAGTTACCCATCACAAATCACTACACTGAATCCTTCATCGTGGATACGCATTTGATATCTGTAAGCCATCAGTTGTTTACTTTTTTTGTTTTACTGCTACGAAGCACATTTGTGGGCGTAGTTCTGTTTGGTGCATTTTTGGACATTTTGCTCGTTTCTGTTGACCACTGCTGATGCCTCCCGTGAAACCTACACACTCTGTAAAGCTATGCGATAAGATTGTCTTCGTTTACACTTAACAAAAGCCTGCATGTTTTACCCAGGTTAGCAGGAAGTTGCAAGAGAAACTAGCGATAGCACGAAATGTTCCCCCCTCCCCCTTCTTCCACCCCTAAATCAAATGCGCCCGTTTAGGTCTTTCATAATTTTTTTTAATTTCTGGACCATCATTTTGAAGCACTCAAAATTTTGCATGCTTTTCCAGCAAAAAAATTGGCAAATTTTATCCCTGTGTTTTTATTTCTGCCGTGTTCCTGCGGTGGCTTATGCCTTTGACTCTGCAGTTGACCTTTTAGCGCTTCCACTTTTTCAAAGATTCACTTGAGATCCTCCGTATCGTCGCGTAGTATTTTTAAACAGATCCCATTTAATCTTCTTTCTTCGTCGCTTTCTGTAGTGCAAGGCTGCATTCATACTTTGCGTCTGCGTCTGCCAGCGACCACCAACGGGCAACGTTTCAGCGCAATCGCCTCCCTCAGACTTAGAAAATGGAAATTGAGTCCTGCGTTACGCGATCAAATGTCATACAACCTTACAACACCTTCGAGACTAACGCTGCATTTTTTTCCTTCACATTATTCATGGTTTATATGATCCCTTTTTGTTCTTTTCTCGCTGGTTCTTATTTCAAGTTCCTTCCTTTTCTTCTGTTTTTTTATTGAGAGGGGTATTACTGTTGTTTCGTTGTAGGAGGAACTACTGGCGTTCTCAGTCCAGGGACTATTCGAAGATGGAAAGTTTGCGAAGCCCGGAGAAGTACCCCAACTAAACTACTTCACGCGATCATTCGTGGTATCTCCTCGTGAGAATGAGTAAGTGTAAGCCGTCTGAGGAATAAGCAATAATGGCCATATTGAGTGTTCCAAGTAATGCGTTTTTCTTTTCAGATCTATAGCTGTAATATCCGACATGCTATTTGTCAGTGGAATCACTTCGTCACGAATGGCGCGTTATAAATTAATGTTGAACAAGGTATCTGTAGATTTCACTACATTCCGTGCAGCTCTTGAGTATCTGTTTCAAATACATCTCTTATAGGCGGCATCAGCGGGACCTGCACCTCCTCTTCCACCTCCCCAAGCCAACCCAGTCGTTCAAGCAGCTGAGGTATGTGACGCACTTTGCATACCGTCATGGAACGAAAGTCACAAATTCACCCTTTTAGTCAATAAGTGGCCTACAGATGTCTGGTCATCCGTCACCGGAGATTAAACGACAAATGATAGAACAATTTTGCAAAGACAGCGGAATGATACCATCCTTTTCGGAGAAGTGTTTGATAGAATACGACTGGAACTATGAGGTAGATGCTCCTACATTTGTAGTAGTTTTAAATGCTTTTCTAATTTAATAAGCTGAGGTAAAAAAAATCGTCGATCATTGAATTTTACTCAGTTTCCAGGTGTAGCGAACAACCTGTTTCATCAGAACACTTTGTGCAGCTTACAGCTTCCTTTTTCCAATACTTTAGGAACATTCCTAACCCGGAAAATTTACATTTTTGGTGCTGAGGTAGTAGGGAGAGGGGGCAGACGCTACGCTAGGACGCGGACGAAAAGCGAATAGAATTGAGCTGATCCAACTGCCCCTTGCCTACCCTATTACCTTGGTACCAAGTTCTCTGACTGCCCCTTTTGAAAACTAGTTTGAACTGCTCAACTTACGCAAGAGAGACTTAATAACTGAGCAGTATCTGTTAATTTTTGCAAAAAAAAAACGCAGCAAAATCATTCCCTGTTCGCTTAAGGTGTTCCTTTTGTTTTGAGCATGATTTCATTATGGTCTCAGAACTTCAGATTAATAGTAACAGTAAACTTCAAAATGAAACGTTAGTATGTTTCCTGAGATTAAGGCATCAACGGCAACCTGACTTACGTGGCTAAAAAAACTCCTAAATTCGGCTTTATTCACCCTTTCATGCCTCAATCTTAGGAAATCAGCCCTGTTTTTACCGCCTTTTTATGAGGCCAGATTAGGCTGAGAACTCCCCTGTTTGTAATTTGGTCCTAACTTATCCTATCTTCATGTGAGTTGTGAGTCCTTGTAGTTCGATCTCCTGAACACGAATATCACTTTTGCTTAGCTTGAAACCATCTGACGCGGTCTCCACAGGCGCCGGTACCGAAATGGTTTAAATAATCATATTCGCACAACACTTGTACCCAGGAGCAATACGACCTCCTTAGCACGAATATCACAATAACACTTACCGCCTGCTTTACAGGCACCGGCATACTTGTTTGGCACCGCCGCCTGTTCGCGGACTTCGAGCCGCGTTAAGACGGTAAAACTACCCCTGGGGACGATGTTTCAGCGAATTTGGTGACTCTCTTGGAGACGTGGCCTGATTTCAGAAGGTTGCGCGGTTAAAGACAAATAGTGCCCAAAATTCTTCCAAATTCTGCATACAATCCTGTATATGTTAGCTGCAATTATAACATTGGCACAGACTTTACACATACAATATAAAATTAAATTTTAGGCCGCTGGACAAGGTTTCCTAAGTATGAAGGACAAAATCCCAAAAGAAGCTTTTGCATCCGTTTGACTAAAGGAGTAGGATTTGTACATATTGTATTAGTTTTAATGTTCTTAGAGTTAGTAATGTTGTTGAGATAACCTTATTAATGTGCTTGTTACTATTTTGTTGTTGTCTTATGTGCTGTATTACTGATACTGTATGATGGGTCTACTAAAAAAATTAAAATGACATCGAAGATTTCGATGACATCAGCCTGGCGGGTTTAGTGGAGCTTGTGACCCAATATTCACATCTTTTGCGCAAGTGGCATTCCCACTTTTGCACATTCACCATAACTGGTGGTGCTCGGATCAATCTGGTCCCGCTCTTGCCAATAGCATAAAGTCACATTTATGTCGACTTTCACTGGCACTTATATTCACCTTCAGCGGGCCGGTCCATCCACTGTTATGGAAGGCAACTTGCGCATTCTCTCACCTCTTTAGCGTCATAGCTGTGCTCATCTCGCCAAAGCTGCTTGCCATTGATGTCCACGATGTATATTTATTTTTGGAGAAAAAAAACAGACCTCAAACTTTGTACTGTCCTCTCAAGTATTATTTATTTTCTTTTTTTAACACTATAGTGGTTGTGTCGTCATATTGAGAGACATATGTACTGCATAGTATCAGCAATAAAATCTTGAATCAAATAATCAAATGTTTCCATGCATTGGGGCGGCTTTTGCCGAAAGTATTGTAAGAGCAGGTGGTGTCTCTCGCGCAACTCATGAATGCAGTCCTGGATCGGCTCCTGGTCAGGCCATCCCACCTAATTACAATGGTCCAATGTTTATTGGATGACACCTGCAAGCTCTTGTGCTCTGTCTGCTATTAAAGGCAGCGTCCGCGATCAACCAAAGTGAAAAAACCCTCCAATGAAAACGAACGCGGAGTACGCAACCATAGCGGATATCCCACTCTTGCGGCTCGAAATGTATTGATTGACGAGGGCGGAGTCAACAAGGCTGAGCTGACGCCTCCTTCCCTGTTAATCCCGCCCCGACTGGTTAACAGTTATCAGTGCTTGCTGGCATTGATAAACGCTAAGTTTCTGGAGTTCCGAGGCCGGCGACGTGTATTGGAGAACTCACCAAAGGTCTGCGAAACTCGTCCACATGCCTTAAATTTCGTAGGGTCTTATTTCACGCTCTTCCACACCTTTTTCCTACTTTTTTTGATTAGTGCTTCATTGGCCACCTGTTCTAACAAATTTGACCCCTGAGACCTGCCAAAGTCCATCGCGGGCGCTGTCTTTAAGCTATTGGTCGCATCCAATAAGCCACTGCAATTCTGAAGAGAAATGAATGAGTGGGTTATCCTACAAAAGGACGATAAACGAAGAGAGCTTTTTTCTCTTTATCTTTTTGTACAGCTTTTTGCGACCACGACTGCAACAGGTTTAATTAGTTTCGTTCCCGATTCTTGGTTCTTTTTTATATTTGTGATTTTGATGATTGTGATTTTCTCAGTCTAAGACCGCGTTCATAGTTTGCGACGTAGAACTACTCAGTCGCGCAGTACTAACTTGTACGACTGGAGCGCCCAGGTTGCGAACTTTCAATGGTCTTGAAATCGTGATAGATATGCACATGGCTACAACCGCAAATCCAGACGCATTCAGTATTAGGGCATGTCCCGCCGTTAGGGAGAAATTCTGCAGAATACGACCCTACTTAAAATCTCTCCTACTGGAACAACCTCTGCTCCCATCCCCGCACCACCACCTTCTTGACTTTTCCCCAACTTTCTACCATTTTGTTCCCTAAAAATACGTTGACCGGAGGAGAGGGTTGTAACATCCAGCGCCAAAGCAGGGGGATAGAGAAAAGTCATCAACAGCAACAACAACAACCAAGAAGGTTCTCCTGAAGCTAATTTGACCCGCTGCATCCCTCCAGCAATCTAAGGCGACGCCCTCTCCCCCCTCCCTCCTCACTGTAGATCCCGAGCTTACGACATGCTCTGTCCAGATACGTCTGTATTCGAGCGGCCAAATGATCAGCGGTGAAGGGCGGTCCCGCAGTCGCGTGGTTCGTGAAATCGTGCGACAGAATTGTCTGGGTGAAGTATGAACTTAGTCTAATACATGTATACTCTTTGGGCAGAGGGAAAGTCCAGTAAAGACCAGAGAATAAACCTATAACCCATGATGTAGAAATCAAACAGTATGTATAAGTGTTTATGAATATTTTGCTACAATTACAGTAGAACTATTATATGCGAACCTAGCCTAACTTTTATTTACAACTATTGACCCTAAGTCCAATAGGTACAGCAGGTATCATGATCTCTTCAACAGCCGCATAAATCGAACCACATTCACCTTGAGAGCTGGCCAACACAGCGCAAGGTTGCGATAGTACCACTCTCTGAAAATGTCTTTTTGGGCTAGTGACATCTATAATTTTGAGCATTACTCCTCAGCCGCGGCGAAAAAGGCGTTGTAAGCGGAGTGACGCGCCCAACATCCGCACCAAGTGTGCATGTCGTCTGTAGCTCCGCGAACTCGTACTGTAATGCCGCGACATGGATTTAACGCTCAACATTAGTGAAGAAAAGGCTGCGCCCACACTGCTCGTCTGGCGCTTTCTCAGGACAGTTTCACAACAGAAAGGCGCAGAAGGCCAAGTGGTGGCTGAGTAGCGCGGCACATCCCTCCCTGAATTCTTATAATCCCTTATTTTCTGTAACCGGCGGTAACATGATTGGGATGGGGGAAGGGAACCATTCGGCAGCGCCCCCTCCCTTCTCCGAACAGAGGCTTACGTTTGGGTAGGCAGGCGAGTCTACCCTAACCATAATCTTATCCGAGCAGCAACGAAGGAGACATTACAAGTAAGATTATGTACGTAGCATTTGAGCCTGAGGCCTCAACAAGACAAGATAGTAGAGGAGCGGCACAGTGGCTTGCCCCATCTCCTCTCCAACTACGCCAGCTCTTGGACATTTACTAATGGTAACTCTTGATACTAATATTAACAATAGCAGATTCAAATCAACTTACTTGTTGTAAGCCATCAGGTTTGCGTACTCGAAATCAAGGAACTCTTTATAGAATACAGATAAATCATTCGCAGATATCTGCTCTACTCGGCCGATCTCCTTTTTACGCTAAAAAAATCAGGTCAGCGCTAACTAGTCCACTACTAACTAACAAACATTGGTCTTAATACATTTGTCAACAGCAAATCCATTTCTCCTCCCTTTTCCAGCTTATTTTTATTTTTCTCCACTATCTTCAAAAGCTCAGCCCAACGACCGCTAGCATTGCTGGATTTGCGCACATAGGGTTATTCAAACACTTGAAAAATGAACCCACTTTTTGAATGAACTCAATCTTCTTCATATCAAATAACGTGTTGTGTTTCTCCCAGAACGATGAGCTCCACCTGAATTATTTCTCTTTGAAGGGGATCTTAAAGCTAAGATATCCATAGAGTCACCTGTTCAGCTCTTCCCGTGCCAGACGATAGTCTCGCTCTAAATCGGATTCATTGTCAACTCTTCTCAGTCTGAAACACACATATCCGACGCAGAAGTTAAGGCACTCTCCAAATTGTTTCAAGGAGTTTTCTACCAAAATGTCCGTCGGTTGGGTGTGTATGAATTCTCTCAAAAACAAGGAGCTGATCTGAAAAGGTATTCTTCCCCAGCAACCATCTCACTTCTAGAGACCCTTCCCCACAGATGATATAAGATCTACAGGGAAGATTGCGAAAAAAAGACGCTTTGCCCGAGACACAATCACTAAAGAATACACAGCCCAAAGAGAAGAGGTGGATACGAGTACCAGGGCGGAAGATACCCAAGATGTTCCTCTAGAAGCAGATATGCAGAAGCTGGCTCTCGTCCCATCACCTTCATGTACACCAAAATATGAAGCCATCTGCAATCGCAGCCTGACTGAAGAAGGCCTATGGAATTCACGTCACCTCCAAACAGCTGCGAAACTTCTTGTATGGAGTCACCCATGGACAGCTACCTGGGGACCGGCACTCTTGATCTGGAAGACCTCCAACATCGAGCAGCTCCGACAACGTCGCTACGGTCTAGGACATCATCTTCACCGCAGTCGCCAAGGCGCGGGTTGATGGTATGGACCGGAAGTTCCTGGAATGGGAAGACCGATATTTTCTTCGTGGACCCGGACTGGAAGTGAACGCTGACGGTTACATCGACCAACTCGAGGAGAATATCCTGCCTTCATGTCGTCGCCTGTACCTTCTTGGAAACTTCGTACTGCTACAGGATTGGGTGCCAGCACATGGAATCGAAGGGCGTTGGAAAAACTCTCGCCTACTTGGAATGGAAGGGCGTTGAGTACCTGAAGAAGACGGAATATCCAAGTGTGTCACCTGACCTGAACCTTTCGATTACCGGGTTCGGGCGGAGCTCAACAGGGTGGTCTACAGTGGCGGAGAAATCAACGACCTGCTGAACTCAGGCACCGAATCACGGTCGCGTGGCAGAATCTCTCGATGGCGTTCGTCTAGAAGGCTGTGGCGGAATTTCGTGATAGTGTACAATGCGTTATTCCAGAGGTTAATAAAGTATAACTTATTTCGCCTTGGAAGTCGAGGAAAAAGCATCTTTTTCGACTCTCCCACTGCATTCCCAGCGACTTCAGTAAACATTTGCTGAGTATGTCTCAACGATGTCTTCTGTCGCCGCTGACCCCTTTTGATGTAAGTGTTCAACCTCCTCCATTGTCGAATATAGCCTTGAAGGAGTGTAAGAAAGGAAAGGCACTCTACTTCTGTGTATCGTTGTTGCCCACGAGGGATCTTTCCATTCTCAGACTAATAAATATATTCACTGGACCACTTGTCCGTCATTTGGAGAGCGCAGTTACCCAATTCTTCGTCAGCCATCCTTGGCACCACTTCCCCCCCCCCTAGGCAATGAAGCAATACCATTGAAACCGGATTGAAATTGAACCCAAAAAACTTATGAACCCATAAATCAATAAATCACCAATCTGTACACGCTTGAAAAAAGAAACCGCTTACTTGATGGGCCTGATTTTCGAAATCGGGTGTGGTGGTCCCACCCAATCATATCGACGATCCATTCGAACCCGGTCATCGGGTATCTCCATTTTTTTGCTGTGGAAATGCGACTTTGGAGACGTGACTGACAAATTTAAGAAAGATTATGCCTCGACTTGAAGAGATAATTCAAAGGCAAAACTGTATCACGAAAGTCACAGAAGAAATCTAAAACAATTTATTAGGATCATTTCAACAACTTCAAACATTAACAATCAACAACATTTGCAACAACTGGGCTATCACGATGGCCAAATAGAACTGTACATCAGGTCCAACAATTTCAAAAATGTGTCCAACTTGATTAAAGCTACATCCTTTTTCTGCCGTCTATTCTTTCTATCATACTTGATATGTCGTGTAACCACTTTTCCATTTAACAACTTCTGGCTTATATGTAGACAGATCACACATTCACAGAGCATCTGCTTCATCTATAGCTTTCCTTATCAAAGAGAACATACGTTGATATTCGGTCAGATTGTGTCTGAAAAGCACGATTTTTCTTTCAAGTGGTGAATAAGTAGGACAAAGGATGGAGCTTCCGCCGTTGATAAGTCCCCATTTGGGAAGTGGTATGAACCCTGCTCACTTTCAGAGTGACAGTGCCAGTGCGATTCGGCCCACGCAACGACTTGTATGGGCCAGCTAAGGATAAGACTAGTTTTTTCACCACTCCACCCATTAGAACATGTCACTTTCCCTTCCTAAGAGGTGCAACACTAGGAGTTGCATTAGCGGTGAATAATTATCTCAATTAGACTTACATAACCAGTAATATGGGACCCAGTAACTCCTTTGTATTGGTTAAATGCCGAAGATACATCCGAGTATAGTTTTTGCATGTATAGCAATCACAAGAATCAAACACCTTTGCGTAGTCGTCTGCATATCTAAAATCATAAAAGCTAACGACAAGCGACGGAGACAACCCGTACGCTTGGTTTAATTGGCTACGAATCGTCAAAAACCGCCGTACTTGTCATCATTGAAATCCAACAGCTCGAAGTCCGACGAATGTGGGTAATCATCAGCTAAGCGAAGACATTTTGCCTGAACGACGGCGCAAGATGGTAAAACAAATCGAGAAAGATAAAAAACAGTCGAACCGGTATAGAGCGCCCAATGCCGCTTTTTCCCCTCGGAGAACAAATGCACTTGCACTGAGATTGTAAAGGAACTGTGCTCTACAGTAACTTGTAAAGACAGCCCATCCTTCCGCTCACTTACACCTCCCGAATCAGTGGGATAAGTTTCGAATCAAAACACGTGAGTGGTTACATTGCACTTAATGAGATCTCCCTTAGACTGATCACACAGTCATAAGCTCTACCTCTCATAACCTACAAAAACGAGGCTTGTAACGGGATATCTGGAGCTACATGTGGCGATGACAAGGCACTGAAAGTGAAGTCAGGTGGGTACCAGTTTCACCGGAACCTAAGTGATTCAATGGAAATGCAACGGTCGAGTCGACTAGCTAGGGAATACAGGCCAGTCCAAGCGCGTCACAGCAATGTTCATTTCCAACCCGACACTCGTGGTTACAAGCGTTAACAATCTTATTGGACCGTATCTAACCCTCTAACCTAAAAGAAGGTCCGAGACCACGAAAGGGTGCCAGTATAATTTCAAACTATGATATCTACACTTACCTCTTCAGAAATCTTGACGGCGTATGACGAATCGAAATAATCGAATCCGAGCCGAACAAGATACAATACCATGGCTGGGTCGAAAGCTCCAGCTACGAACCGTAACCGTGTGGGTGGCAGAGGACCCTCAAATATGCAAGAGGTAAGTGTAGA